GGACGTTGTGATCGCGTCACGTTTGAACACGAGCTGTGCGGGCGTTGCCGCAAAGTGGTATGAATCGTGGCATTCATTGCAAAGCGAACCGCCGTGAGGACTCCATCCCAGGATCCATTCACGAGGTCGTCTTGGCACTTGATGTTTTGAACAGCGATCAAGTTACGTATGGTTTGATGAGCACGCTCGACCATAGAGTTTGGCTTGAGGGTTACGCGTATGGATGAACTTGCGACGAAGTCCATATTCATCCCGGAGTGTCTTTTCCCTCTGCGCGGAACTCGCGTCCTCTACCATGATAACCTCAGCAGGCCATGGATACCGAGTAAGCCACGTTTTTCTAGGACGATGGCTACTTCGTCTGCTGCCTTTGAGCAGATCTCTGCAATCTCGAACATCCGGTTACGGGATCAATCATTGTCAAGCAATGAGTGTGCAGGAATCTTTTCTTAGGATCCCCGACGTTGTAAGGACCTATCAGGTCAATACATAGTCTTTCCCAAGGGATCCCTCGCAAGTCTTTGGAGCATCAATCCCAGCTTACGCGTCTTGGGTTTGTTCATCTGGCAGCTTTGGCAACGCTGACATACGGCCTGCACAGTCTTGCGCAGTCCTTTCCAGGTGTAGTGTTGGCTGATGGTTTAGTTCTGTGCGAGTCTCGCCAGGATGCATCAGCACCACCATGGTACCATTCAACTAGCTTCTTCTGCATAGTTTTAGGTACGACGATTTCTATCGTCCTTAACTACTAAGTCGTAAGACTTATCCCCTCTGGGAAAGATTGCTTCTTGTAGTCGTTTTGCTTGTCCCTGAGGAGTTTCTGATATCGTTGTCGTCTTTCTGACGATGTTCGATCTCGGGGAACGAGAGAGGGAACTCGCTAGGGAAGTCCTCTTCGTCTGCGGCATGAGCTCAGCGATTCGCTGGCGTCCATTTGTTCTGAAGAACCGTCGTTGTTGGAGATGTTAAGTCTTGACAACGCATCAGCGACGATGTTCTGTTCGCCCTTGATGTACCGTAGTTCAGGGCGTATTCTTCCAGAATAAGCGCCATCGCATTACGCGATCGTATTGAAGTTTTGCATGTCAGATTCTTGTGGTCCCTATGTACAACGATCTTCTGTCCCAGAAAATGTTCGGAACTTTTTAGAGTTTCTACGATACTGAGAAGTTCCTTCTCGGTAACTGTGTAACGTGTCTGAGCAGGGTTGAGCTTCCTGCTGTAGAACGCGATAGGTTTTCCCTTCTGGGAAATTACTGCACCTAGTTGAGTATCACCCGCATCCGTGTGGATAACGAATGTATCGTTGAAGTCAGGGTAGGCGAGCAAAGTTTCCTTGCTGATGATCTTCTTCGTCTGGCTAAAGGCCTTGTCGTGTTCCGCTTCCCATTTCCACTTCGTTGTTTTGGAAGTCAAGAAGCAAGTGGGGCCAGTACATGTGATCGTCTAATCCAATGTCTCGATAATAGTTCAATCTCTTCTCTTTGGTTCGAAGCCAACTGGAAGTACATTAAGGAACGTCGCCAACGACTAATCCAACAAAACAACGACAGGGAAAACGCGACGCGTGTCCCTCATCAATACAATGTCAACGATACCGTGATGATTCAGCAGTATCAGCACCGCAAGTACGGTCAGCCAAAGTACAAAGGTCCTTACACTATAGACCGAGTCAATGACAATGGCACTGTACGGCTCCGACATGCTACCGCCAATGGCGGCACAGTCTACCAGACTTGGAACATAAGGTATATACACCCATACAAGGCCTGATCCCCTTGTAGGATTGCCATCGTGCGATGCACATGTCTACATCCAAATCTCATGAGAGTGCCCCGCACTTTAAATCATATGTTCTCCTTGTCTGACTGCTGTTGCGCCTTCTGTGACCCTTGTCAGGGGGCGAATGCAATACACGGCTCTTAGCCTTATTCGCGACTCGATCCTAGATAGGGTTTGAGTTCGACTCATGAATGCAATACACGGCTCTTAGCCTTATTCGCGACTCGATCCTAGATAGGGTTTGAGTTCGACTCATGACTGAGTCTCTCGTGAATAGTCATTTGAGACAGGGTTCTCAATGACCGCGCTGGTCATACTAGGTTGATGATGAAACATCGCTCTAGATATTTAGCCAGCGTGGAGTACTTCCACGCTACTAGATCCAGGCTAGACAAACCTTCCACGCGTTCCGTTTTAGGATCGTGGAGAGACGTAGGATTACTACCGCAACCTACTCTATCACACTTTATAGTCTCCCGCGGGAAGCCAGATCTACGATCCCTTGATGATGATCTCTCTCGTTGATTAGTTTTCATAGCTTTCTAATCTCTCTCATAACTTTCATTCTCTCAAACTCAAAACACTCGAAAGATCTTTACACTAGCTTTTAGCGTAGTGCAACAATGTTCGGTTGTGCATGTATTAGTCATAAGGATCCAAAGCAAGGTACAGTGTACCGGTAACGGAGTGTAGCCGGTAAAGCGGAACCTGAGTGTGTTCGGTACTGTTGCCACTGTCACGGATCGATGTAACTCTAAGGTAACTGGCTACAATGGCTGGATTGAGAATATTCGGTTGTGCATGTATTCGTCATAAGGATCCAAGTAGCGAGCAAACTGAGGAAACAGGAGACGAACGCTGAAAAAAAAGCCGAATTTCCTATTTCTTATTTCCTGTTCGGGTGAAGCCAAAATATAGGGATATAGATAGGCATAAGCCAACAAAACTGGAAATTGAAGGTTCTACAAATTTAGGGGTAGGAATAAATCATGATTATTCAAGGTTAGTGCACTCAACACAATAAGCCAGCAGAAACAGGTACATACAGGACTGACAGCTGTAAAATTATGGTTAGCGGGCGGCAACACACGACGAAGTCGGGTGTTGTTGCCAGGGCTAGCTTAAATTAAAAAGAAGGTTATAATGAGGGAATGATAAGGGGCGGCAACACACGACGAAGTCGGGTGTTGTCGCCAGGGCTACCTTGAAAGAAGAGCGCAATCTCAAAGAAAGAAGAGTGCAATCTCAAACAGATCCTCTTTCTTCTATTTGTCTTTCTGCCGAGGTATCGCAGCTCCCGCTGACTTATTAATAGGACCTGGTACCGTAAAAGTATATCCCTAAACTGAGAGAAATACTGAGACCCTGTACCTGTGGTAGGCATCCTACTGGAGGTATCCATCGTATCGATCGAGGTATTCCAACACCTGGTGTACACCTGGTGTATGCTAGTTGATCGTTCGTTTATACCACTGAGAACATCACCGCCTCGACCATAAGAAAAATGAGGCTCGAACCTCTACTACTCACTGTTAAGATAATGGACGCACCTCTATTATCTCTCGAAAACGCACAAGTCCTCGAAATATCGCTAGCTAGCTACCACTACGTACGTTCGAAAAGCAGAAGTCACTACCGGCACGAAAACGAAAAAGTCAAGTAAGTCCATGTAACAAACTCACTATTAGGCATGGCTACCATGCTTATCAAACTAAGGTCAACTTTACTGAGCACGAACAATGCAAAGATCCTCATGCAGACTGTTCATAATGGTGTCCTGCTTGATGGCAGCAGCAATATTCAAAATAGTTTCTTTTGTAATGCTCCTCAATCTTGGTGATGACCCAAGCTGGAGCTTTCTGAGCATTGGCAAGTGTAGCCATGAGAGTCCAGAGTGGCTTCCTCCTGGAGTAGGTTAACTTGCAAGCCCTGATATCTTCAGCAGTGAAGTTCTTGGCTGGCTTGTTGCCACCAATACCATGCATCCACTCTTCCCAAGCAGAGCCAACAGTTCTGTACGCACTTGGCTAGCTTGGCAGGCCTACTATCAGCAGGGGTGGCCACAGCTCGTCTGTACCTGAAGCTAGTCTGGCCATTCCGGCGAGTCCTTTCCACAGTCAACCCATTTCTAAAAAGATTACCATCTACCTGATCAGGTGTTGCCATCCTTAGAGGCTGAACAGCAATAAAAAAAAGCATACAAAAATACAGAGTTAGCAGCAGTAATAGCCATAGTTGCAATAGCCAACAGCCACAAGTCTACACTTACCTGCAAATATTTCCATTCAGTTTCGTCAGATCCGCACCAAGCCAAGTCTCCAACCAACCTCTCAAAGCAGCAGCCGAACTGTCGTGGGTCCTACCTTCTTGTGCTATGAGCTGCTGGAGCTGGTTGTGCTGCGCAATAATCCTTGTCAGAATCTCCTCGTTCGTTCGTACCTGCTGTTGCGTTTGCATAGCCGTCACCTGCCGCGACTCATTGGCAACTTGACGAGTGCTTGCCTGGCCGGTCGTTCCCGTAGTGCCACCAGCCGTGCTACCGCCACCTCCAGTATCCATCGGCTCAATTTCGTTGATGTGGAGCTTGGTGTTGTGCGTCCAAATCGAGAGAAGCACTTTCACCACAGGGTTGACGCCAACAGGAAGATCGGCCTTAATGCGCTCGTACGCATCTTGGATCCTAATACGAATGGAAGGCTCCATCCTCTCCTCCCAAGATTCGTCAAGGGCAGCCGACAAAAGAGGCAAAGCCAAGTGCAGGGAAATGTCGTTGACACCGTCATAAAATGCATGTGTCCTTGGCACCACATGCTCAATCAACCAGGCGGGAGTCACTCTCTTGGCATCCGGGTGTAGATTGTAGGCAATAGGAGCCCCCATGCAAAGCTTTTTGGCAACACGGGCGCTCGATCCAGGGCTGTTCAGGTGAAATGTAGCTAGGCATCAACAACCCGTCCAGATAAGTGAGCCTTCCAGCGACCTCGAATGTCAACTTCGTCAGCAGTAGCACCCATCCCTCTTGCCAGAGTTGCAGCAAACTTCCGAATGCTGTGACTCCCAAGAACACCGGCAATGAGGACCGCCACAGCTAGAAATGGAGCCGACAGAAAGACAGCCTTGAGAATGTTGCGGTAGGCTGCGTTGCAGTGCTTGGGAGCCAACTTGGGATCGCTTTCGGGAGTAAAGAGGAATGCATTTTCCCGACCAGCAGCGCCATACCCATAGTTGAAGGACGCCTCCATGTAATTCGCCAATCCAAGCATAGCACAAAAGTTGGTATCCATCGACCCAAGAATGATTTGGTCGGGGCATTGTCGTTCTTCCGAAATATTCTTGGACCAATGCACCTTGCAACTGAGAGCAAAAGGGAAGTCTGGATGTGGCTTGTAGTTGGAATACTTCAACTTGGAGATGTCATACCGGTACGTCCTGGTGATGAGATGGACTTGCTGCTTCAGCATGCAGGCTGTACGGATGCTCCCTTCAAAGCTCCCTTTGTTGTAGAGTTCATGGACCACCTTGCGATACTCTGTTTCCGTCAAATCCCTGGTGGCACAGGACTTCTTGCCGCAGTGTTGAGTCTCCGCTTTCTTGACTTCCTTGACCACTTCGTTCACAGGATCAGACTTGGTTGGATTGCCGGAGGTTCCATTCCATGTGGCACCTTTGATGGGCATGTAGAATGGGATAGCCTTCTTGTCTTGCTCAAGAGTAGAGGAGCGGCAAGTTGGATTCTGCTCGAGATCTTTGAAGTCAACATTGGTCGTACCATACGCACGCCATTTCAAGTAGTCGGCAACGTGATGTGGTTGGATGCCGCCCAAAGCACTGGGTTGGAAGCGAGCCGCCTTGGTGTATATCCGCTTGTGCAGCCAGCTCATGAATTTGATGAAGAGTCGATGGTAGTCCCGGTTGTACTTGGGCTATTCTGTGGGTGCTTCAGGAAGTTCGGGAACGTCGTCCAACCCAAGGGCTGTGCCAGCATTGGCATTGGCCATGGCCATGGTGGAGGAATTCTTTAGTAGAGTGATCTGGGTATTAAGACCTGCAGTGCATTAAGACTATTGTAATATTCTGGGCTGATACCTTAAGACTATAATATTATTATGGCTATATAGCTTAAGACCTGGCTGGATCTAGGGCATCCCAGCAGCCAAAGCAGCTACTGGAGCTGCTTTAGGCTTCAGCTGTACCTGTAGCACATCAGGCTTGGCATCAATCATGTTCTCCAATTCAATTACCAAGGTTCCCTTGGCCAATTTGCAATCTGACTTGGACCTGAAGTAGATTGTCAACAGGGCAACGATCTCTGCTTTGGTCAGGGAAGCAACAACCTGCTTTCGCTTGAGCTTCTCCTTTGCATTTGGGGCCAGACTGTTGAGGCTTTCTTGGGCTTTGCGCTTCTTTTCTAGTGCCAGTTTCTTTTGAAACTCGTCAATTTTGGCCAAGCCATCCGTAAGTCGTTGCCTGTTCTTGAGCTTGAGCAACGCCCTCTCATCGTTGACCAGGGCGGCATGGTTCTTAATGTTGCCAGTAGCATCCAGCCTTCTCCGAGCAGCCTTCATCTTGTTGACTGCCACTAGTTTGTTTCCAATGATCTTCCTCTTGACGCTCACTGCTTCGGTAGCTTGGATTAGCTTCGACCGATTGTGTGAAGACATGGTTACGTCGAGATGCTTTGACGGTGACATCTTCGCACTAAACAGTGACCGCTTGTCACACATATGCTCAAACAGTTCGAGTCCCTGTTTTGAAGGTGGCTTAAGCATTAACATATCAAGGCCCTCGTCTGCCTTCTTCCGTTTGCCTCGGCTGTTTCCACCTCCGGATCTAAAGCAGCCAACGACAGAACATCTTTCGCAGGAAGCATTCTCTCTAGATGCGAAGGATCTTCAATTGCCAACTCAATACACAAACGGACGTTTTGCATTTGAGCGGGTGGCACGAAGGCTTGCTCCATCATGGCTTTGATGCATGGGACGGACCAACCATCGTGTTTCTTTTAAGTAGCCAAGGATGCTTTCTTCTCTTCAGGAGTCATGCCGTGCCAGAATGACGGCAAGAGTGCGTACAGATCTGTTACTCCTTCTTTCTTGAATGAATCACCGCCTTGCATGAAGTCCGCTATTTTGACACACCACTCGGAAAAAGGGAGTCTGGTGTGTGGGTTCAAATTGACGGCCGTGAATGAACGTTCCCATGCCGTAGAGGTTGTGGCACGAATGGCGAACAGACCAACACTAATCAGACACCACTGGTCGACGACTCCACGATTTTCAAATACCGTTCGTCTCAAATAAGACAGACAATCGTTCTTTGCCGCCTTGTCCGCCTTGCAACAAGTCTGTCATAGGCTTGGTTCACATGAGAGGAATCTCCCTCCTCCTTAAGTGACAGTATCTTGTAATCGTACCTGTTCTGTAAAGCAGGAAAAGAGGCCATGTGAGCACCAAAGCCGTCCAGATTTCCAGCATCCACCACTGTGGTTGGAAGCCACAATGGGATCAATATTCCGGAGCCCTTTGCACAGAGGAACCGTGAGTTCTTCCCAGGCTTCCGTTGTCATGAAAGCATTTGGCGTCATGATAATGGTCGATCCCAACTTTGCTCCATGGTCTAGCAAAAACTTATCAGTGTAACCATCTTGCTTTTTCTTTCCTTTGAGAAGGAACATTGTGGGCCCAGTCTCTCCAGCAGCGCTTCCAGTGCGGTACATCGTAATTGAGTCTCGACTATCACTGGTGCGCTTCTCATGCTTGGTTCTGCCGGCCGAACCGACCACCTTGGTGGAACCATCGGGACAAGCCATGAAGCAGGTTTCGTCTCCTCCCGTAATAAAATGGTCAATGACTTCTCCAAAGGATTTTCCGGTATGGTTGCAGCGCCCTTGGTTCCTCTGTCGTAGCTGTTCGAAGGCAAAGTCAACGGTCTTGTGCCAACGGTACTGTTGCCCCACATTGATGTTGGTTCTTTTTGTAGTGGAGGCTTGGGCGGCAACAGTCCGAGGCTTGATGATGGTTGGGTACGACTTCAAAATAGTACGGTGGAAGTGCTCTGAGGCTTGCTTGCGAGTGAGCTCTGGTTCAATTTCTTGTACCATATCAATACATTCGGAGGCAGAGGCCCCGTCATTGCCTCTATCCAACCTGGCAGCAACTGTCGCAATGAAGATTTGGTCCGTTTTGGCAACCAAAGGACGTTGTCCTTGGCCGTTCGTGATTGTGCGCCTTTTGGATTCGTCTTTACAGACATGAGCTTTGAAAGTATTATAGGGAATACCAACTAGCTTGGCGAATCGAGCCATAGAGAGGGTTGACTCTCCATTGGAGTCAAGAGCTCTTCCGCTCTTGTTGAACCACTCCGTCTTGGCCAAATCAAAATTCGGCTTGTTCTTGGGCCCAGACCAATTCATGCGCTTCCTCTTTGGCCCAGCGACCTTTGCGGGAGGAGGAGCCTTCTTGGCTACGGGTATCTTCTTCTTCCTGCTGCTTTCTCTTTCTCCGTAGCGGTTTTGAATTTGGTGGATCCCTTTGGCCGCCAGGGCCTCTCTTCTTCGTCACAAACACTTTCTCGCCTGCAACTGTCGGCCTTTTCTTGGGACGACCACGGCTCCTTTTCTTTTTGAAGAAGTCCGTTACGGCAACCTGCTTGTAATGATCAACGTGCTTGATCTGGAAGTCCCTATCATGGTCGTAATCCTCTTCGTAATCCTCTTCGTCAATGCATCCGTCCTCGTCCTCATGCCATCGTCTTTGCCATCGTCTTCTTCGTCAATGCCTTCGTCAATGCCATCGTCACTGCTGTCGGAAACGGCCATCTTGAGAGGAACGAGTGTCGGTAGACGAACGATAAAAGAAGGAGTGTCGATAGAGGTGCTTCGATAGAGGTGCTTTATGCATGTGCGAAGAGACGATAGACGATAGAGGTGCTTCGCTCCCGTAGAGGTGCTTCTATGGGAGCGAAGCAACGTACCGTAGAGGTGCGAAAGATACCGCGGAGTTTCACTCGATAGAGGTGCGTACGTAGGATCCTACGTAGATTCAGTACTAGAGGCACGACTGACGTCATTCGGTCTTAACGTGCAGTGAAAAGAATTCGATGACCGTTGACTGCATATCTTCAACCGCTCCTAACTCCACCAATAAGTACACTATGAGGTTGCGAATTTAATGGATTATGGCATACTCAACTACATGTGTTCTATCGATTCCCCTCTTTACATGTACTATATTCGATATACAGCCCTGAAGAGAATACTCCGGGAAACAGTCGGTCGTAAAGCCCAGATCACTCTAGTCAACAAAGGAAATGTTGGTTTGGTTGAGTTGGAATTTCGGCAGAGTTCCTTTATAGAGTTGAAGGATTGAAAATAATGAGGAAAACTGAACTAAACTGAACTGAACTGAACTGAACTGAACTGAACTGAACTGAACTGAAACTGAGGCAATCGGAGGGTACGGAGTGTTTGCTAGCGTCGGATCTTGCACGATTTCTGCTTTGTTTGCATCTTTACCACACGGGATTGAGTAGAGTATACTCGAACGTAGGGATCATACGGTGGCTGCTTGAGAGTGTTTCTGCAACGGTTGGATCAGAACGATTGGATCGCATTGGATTGGTACTGTATGTGTTGTGCTACTTAGGGCGAAATTGGAATCCTCTCAGTATCTTATGTATGCAGGCGCCCCTGTTATATCTTCTCTGTTGCAGTTTATTTAATAGTGAGAGTCTTATTGAGAGGATCTTTGTTTCAATGAATGCCGATACCCTTGCTTCTCTGCATAGCATACCCTCATTGATCCTGAGAGTATGTAAGATCCACATAGTAGCAGTGTGAAGCACATACTGAGGCTGTGCAACTACTGTTGCAGAAACGTAGTACCGTACGGGTACCGTACCAGTGATATTCTCACGCTGTTAACTCCAACCTTATCCTGATAGCGTCCGGCGAGATGTGGAAAGATGCGACAAGCCACTCCGCCGAACATCGTTTTTGTTCCTCCGTTTCAAGCGTGACTCACTCTTCCTGTCTCCCTTCCATCCTGGGGTTCGTTCCTTCGTTCGTGTTTTGGAAAACCTCCAAGTTTTCGTTTCGTGCAAGCCCAACAATGGGGAAAGAACGAGCAAACACCACACAATAAACGCACAAACTTTTCAACCAACTACAATAGCATGAGCATTCGCGTACCTTTCTTTCTCGGAATCCTGGCGGTTTCGTCCGTGGACGGATTCAACATGGATGCGGGTGTGTTTGCAAACAAAACCGTTCATCAGCTTGAGCAGATGTACATTGACGATTGCGCAGTGGACACGTCGCCACATGGATACTACGGGGCATTTTTGCAACCCTGTGAATTCCAATTTCGCCAGAGTAATGTGGCAGAGTTTGACGACAAGGATGCTTGCTCGGACAAAACCAGTACATTGGTTGCAAAGCCCATTCCCATGAACTGGTTCTTCAATTCCACGTTTTTGGACGAGGATGGTTGGAGCAGCGATGATTTCCCCTCCGGCGAAGATCTCCTTTTGTGGCCTGACCAATGCGTTGGAGTCACACCACGATGCTACTCTGTCAACGACGAGGCAATTCATGAGACATTGACTCGTATCTTTTCCTCTGGGGGTATCCCTGAAGATGCCACACATGTCCGCGTGGACTGTCGTTCTGATGCCATGGCCTTGAGCCGCGCCATTGATGCATTTGCTGACAACATTGACAAGCTTGACTTTGATTTGGAAAGAGTTGCGACTATAGTTGTCGCCTGGTTGGTCACGGTCTTTCTTGTGGCGTTGGTACTGGCCATGTGGTGCATGTACGCCTGTCTTCGTTTATGCTCCTGCTTTCGTGGCGGGGCAACGTGCAAGCATCATCCCGAGACGACACATGTTTTGCGACGCTCTGAATACGAGGTGATAGAAGAGGGCACCGAGAAGGAAGGTTTGCTAGGAGGAGAGGAGCAGCTTCGGAGCTGATTGAGTGAGATTCCCTACTAGTAATCACTGGTTTTATAAATACAATTGTTACCACTCTAACTTGTTGATGTACGGTACCATTGATTTGGGCACAATGCAGTACAGGGCTCTGCGCAACCACCCTGCATGCAAGCACTTTCATTAGCCTTTTTTGGAAATCACTCAGAATAGAAGTACTTCCACGCTGTCGTTCCACGATGCGTACAGAGATATTTGGGCTCCCGTTTTAAAAAAACTCTGACCACTAGCTAGCTAGCTAGCCACCGGTACTCATTGCTTAGCTAGCTAGAGACGTGTGTCATTGTCCCTAAACACAATAGAAGAGGTTGCAACGGGAATCTAAGATGCTCAACGCTGTCACAGAGGTTGATGCTTTGCTCCAAAGGTGCGAGCCGCAACACCTCCTCATCCGACGGAGCGAAACGGCGGCTACTTGTTTTTGCAAGGCCGCGACCTTCCGCTGATGAGGCCATGAACAATGAAGAACTTCTTTCATCAACAGAGTTTCCGTCAAATAAATGTCAACAGAGCTGCAGAGCAGTGGGTCGGTCAGCTGGACATTCAGGAGAGTGGGGGGTCAGTGGCTGGAGATGAGCTGCTCCGTAGTACAGCTCCATATCAATCCTAAATCTTCGTGGTGCTTGGTGGTCCAAGCTTGGGGGGGACCGAGCGCACAAGACGAAATAAATGCTCAGCCTGCCTGGATATGGCCCAAGAAAGTGGAGAACTGCATGCAGTGGGATCTATTGTAAGAAAGAGCCTCGAGAACCCAGCAATTGCTCAGATACCGGGGAACCGAAGATTGTGTTGGCCTGGAAGGCCTCGTCATGCGACTGTTAGTCCCGGATTCTTCTTGCTATGGTCAAAGTCGCGTCGGATCACTGTGAGTCGTTCACAAAGTCGCGTGCGACTTGCACGCGACTTTAGTACGACTTTCCGAACGACTTTCAGCGATCCGACGCGACTTTATCGCTATACTTTCAGTAAACGTGCGCGACTTTCAAAGTCGCGTGAGAAAGTCGCACGCGACTTTGGTGCGACTTTCATGCGACTTTATGAACGACTTTTGATGCGACTTTGAGACTCCTGTGCGACTTTCCGCCGATTTTGGCGATTTTCAGTCGTATGACCGGGCCTTCCTGAGCCATGTCAGTGTCATGCGCACAGTGTGTCAGTACTAGTACATTTGTAGGTTTTTGTCTACCTTTTGCTTTCTCGCCACCATCGGTTCAGTTACAAATTGTGCTCTCATTGGCTACTTTCTTTTGCAGTGCTGGACACTCACTTATGACATGCAGTTCCGCAAGAGGCCACTTCCTTCTTCCTAACGAAGTTATCACTGATTCGAGGCCTACAACTGAACAACATACATGTAATGGTATGTACTCGGAGCTACGTAGAGTTGAGAGAGTCATTGGACATTGTACGGTACCGGTATCCCACAAGAGCCATGGGTTGTTGACGCGCATTTTTTGGCATACAACGTACTAGCTAGTACTAGTACGTGAATAGGTCATGATGACTCTTCATAACACAATATGGGAAAGGTCCTTTTAAGTTATGGCATTCGTGCACACAGAAAGTTCTGGTATCGAGGGGGCACAAAGAGCTGCACAAAGTCATTTTTGAACAATAGGAACAGTTCTCACTGTAAGGTCGATAAATCCTTGACAACCTGAGGAATCAAACTGAAGAGAAGGTGGAAGGTGGTAGTTTGGTGGTTTGATTTTTGACGTGCTGCCGATCACCAATGCGGCACTTGCTTTTCTGAGGCTACCGAGAAGGAAGGATCCTGGGGATTCATGGACTGCCTGAGGATTCATCGACTGCCCGCAAAAGTACCGGCCGAAGAGTGTTGGTCGGGTCTTTGTTTCCATTTCAGTCATCACCCCACAATCTATTGGATCAGCCCAAGCAAAAACAATCTTCTCTAGAGCACCGACTGTGTACTTACAATGGGCAACTCAGAATCAGTTCCGCAGCAACGACGAGGACGCAGTCCCAAAGATGGTCGAAGACGAAGTCGAAGCATGGATCATTCCCTTGCAAAAGAGATGATGGCAATCACGGCGGCCAATTGCTCTCCTACCAGTACCAACAGCGATAAGATTGGCAAACCGACCGCAGGCGGAACGCGAAAAACTCCAGGTCGTGCCAAGAGCTTTGAGAGCAGCGTTGTGTCCAAACGGGAAATGAGAGAGATTCCTTCGGGGAACAAGAGTGGCACGAGGAAGAATGTACGAGCATCGTCGAAATCTAGAAGCTCAAGGAAAATCACCAGCAACAGCAACAGTATCACTCTGGGCGACCAAGACCTGGATGAGATCTATGACTTTGTGAATCAAATGAAGGAGACAAACCTGGGCGGGAACATGCTGGAGGAATTCGTTGTTCGGCAAGCAGAGGACATTCAAACCAGCGAGATGGGCGGCAAGCCAAGTTTGCATTCTGTTCCTATTCAGATTGAAATCAGCTAAGCAAGAAAGGTGATAAACCACGCGAGCGAGGAAGATTTGGAGTTGTTACATCACCGCCATACAGCTAGCTCCCTAGATCACCGCCGTGGCATACTGCAGACGGCAGGGAGCGTTTATGTTACCCCAAGAACACAATGCACTCCGGACGTCATCCTACACACTTCAAGTATACCCTAGCTAGAAAGTTGCATATCGGTAATTAAAATCGACACTGTCCAGTTGCTACATCGTAGCGCCGCATGTGGCTGGGAGGATAGTATGGGTACCGGTACCATGAATAGCAGATTCCTCTTCCCTCTCCTGGGTGTGCGCGTGCAGATCTGATGATGGTAAGAAGCGTTCTGTTGGGTGAGCCCACCCAAGTATTTCCCCCAACCATCAAGCTAGCAGAAGGCAACTAACTACATAGAGAAGCAAGCCGGTGACCACATCCAAGGAGTTTTCCTAGTAGCAACCTCAAACTGGGAGAAAAGTAGCTATTGGCAGTGGCAAGAGATGTATTTCATATTGGGTTGCTTTGTCGATTGTTTGCTGGTGCGCCACCAGCTCTGCCTGACATCAGCGCACGTTCGTATAGAGTTGGCTAGTAGATGATCAGTCCTCAATCGATGGTGTTTGCAGTGGTTGCGGGGCCGTCGGGGGCTGCTCGTTGATGGGGCCGCCACCTGGCTGCGGATCACACCACCATCATAGTCTAGTCCCCAGTAGTAATGGCTGGCAGCCCGGCCTCCTTTGGCAAGAGTCCGTCGCATCTTCTGGGCAGAGTATTCGCTGAGGTGGGGGCACAGCACCAGCAACAAGACAACTAGCAATGCAGCCTGCAGTGCTTTGATACGAGCCAGAATTCTCTGTCGTCTTTCCTCTGAGCTCGACCCTCGCATTTGGTGCACGTGGCTTTGCAATTATCTTGCTTGCTTTTGCTTTGCTAGTGGACGTACATTCTTGCTTTCTTCGAAAAGACACAGCTTTGGCCCATCTATTCTACTAGTACTTCACTTTCTGAGCTCCTCCCTTGAGCATCCACGCTTGAGGACCATGGACCATGCGCTTCTGGTTTTTGCCAACGGCTATAGACGTGGCGCACAAGAGGGTTGGGAATTGGGGGCCTGTCCGACTTGTAGCTCTTGTAGATTGTTTCCGAAGGATCATGTGAACGATACTGCCGTCTCCTTGGCATGCTACTTCAATACCTTCAACTCCGAGTACAAAATGTGATGGAGACTCAACGATTCAAGGAAAGCACACGTGTACCCCGTTTGCTGGTCAGCTTGCTGTGGCTAGCTACTAGCGCTTCATCTTGAGGCACTCCCAGAAATGGATCTTTGCGAGCAGCTCGATTGTTCCTATGCTCAAGCTTGGAAGCTTTCCCCGAAAGAAGCTGAATGAAAGCAAGCTGGTTCCGTCGTCGCATACGTGGCAACAAAGCTATCTGGAAACTAATATTCTCCTCCTGGATCCTCTTCGCGAGCAGCGCTATCACTCTTATGGCAAGCTTCGAAGCTCACACCGAAAGAAGCTAAGCTGGTTCCGTCGTCGCATACGTGGCAACGAGCTATCTAGAAACTTATTGCAGCTTACCGACTCCTTTCTTTCACGGCTCCCCTCCTGTGCACCTCCTTCCTCCCCAGGAATGGATCTTCGCGAGCAGCTCTATCGCTCTATATGGCCAAGCTTGGAAGGTTACCCCGGAAGAAGCTAAACTGGTTCCGTCGTGGCTACGTGGCAACAGGCCAGCCAGAAGCTTATTGCAGCTTGTACTGACTCCACTCTTTCACAGCTCCGCTCCTGTCAACGCGGCTGAGCAAAGGCAATTGGTGTTGCCTACAACCATCTGTAGTGGTTAATTTGTGAACTGTGGATGCGCAGGTCTATCATAGCTAGCTACCGGTAGAGGGCGGTTGTATTCACCATTCTGCCGTAAATACCGGTATCGGTACAGTACAGCTGTACCACAACACTATCGGTCGATAGTCTTGACCTTTCCAAAGACATTTGGATTCGTGGAAAGAATTATCAAAATGACTGGCAAGATCGATCAATAAGCTTTTGTTGCACAAAATGACTGAGAGTGCCAAAAACATTAGCTAATAAGTTAACAATCAGTTGCAGAGAAGTGCATTCAGCAGGAAGGCCAAAGCTTCTTCTTGTTCCCAATACTCTTGCCGGTCCCCTAATTATTATTGAGGTACAAAGTACATGTAGTCGCAATCCATTAATTAAGGGGTAGCAACCCCAAGCACAACCAAACTTACACATAACTAAAGGGAGCTTCAAAGATGAGATCCAACAAAAGCAGCTCAAAAGCGCAGACTTTCGAATCTTCTGGAGGAAGCAAAGTTGCTTCGCATCCAACATTCCAACCTGCTATCATAACTTCCACACAAACCACAAAACTTCCTCTCTTCTTTGCAGCCAACCCAAGAGAAACCTAAAAGAAGAAATATTCGAAGCAATGGGCAACGTCGATTCTTCCACCAACAATCTCAAGAGCAATGGCTCCTCCGGTCGAAAAGGTGGCGCGCAACGACGTGGAAGTCTTCCTGCAAGGTTACCATCCAATCCCAAGCTGGAAGAAAATGACTTGTCGGAAATTCTGCATTTTGTCCAGCACATGAAGCAAACCAATCTGGGGGGGAACATGTTGGAAGAATTTGTGGTGAAACAAGCGAGCGCTATTGACGATGAGTTGAACGATTGTGCTTCCATGTCATCGAAGCTGGACGAGAAACACTTTCCAATCAAGACCATCGTGTTAGACACGAGCGAAAAGTCAATGAAAGATTTCTCCATGAAAGATAGGTCCATGAATAGATCCATGAATCGATCCATCCGTTCCATGAGAGACCGTTCCATGCAAGACAAATCTTCAAGGCGTAGAACACGGAATTCGACTGCAACTCCTAGCGCTTAGGAGTGGTTGCTAAAAAAACGTTGGATGTTCGGGTGTATCGATGTGAGATAGACATGCCATAGATAAGAATATCGCCTATTAGAGCTTTCATAATTATTCACATTCCGTTGTTGTAGGAGTGCAGTTTGTAGCTTGCATACGGTAGCACGTTACTGTATGCATACATGGTCAGCTCCAAGTTCAAAGTTTACTGCCTGTACCGCGCGCATCACAAAGTGACCTGCAACCTTGTAGGTGGGATAGAAGCACTTCCGTTGTGATGCGAGAAAGATGTACATGTGCAAACGAAGCAGAAGGGCTTTGTTTCCAGTTGACCGGAGGAGGTTACTTCTTGTGCAACATACTTCTAGGTAGTAGAACTGCATATGATCCTGCAGCAATACCATATCAGCAGACAGGTCATAGATCAAGTCATCTAAAGCTTCAGGAAGAAGGGGAACAAAGAGGACAAAGGAGCCTCTCTCACTCTGTTCCACACTAGCCAGCGGGAGGGGCAACGAAGATTTGCTTCTCGGGGAGCCAACCAAAACCCACTCTCCTTTCCTCGTCACCCTCCATTGCCGGGTCAGTACATGTGCCTCAACTTTTCCGCACCCTTCTCAGTCTATGGTTGGCTGTGCATCATGGAGTGTGTTTGATCTCAAACCTCACTGTTGTGAAAGTTGCTGGACCTGAACCTTCGAACGACTTGCTTCCATATACTATTCAAATCACCCAGTCTCGGCCTGTTGGGCCATGTCGGGTCAAAGGGCGATTTGCAACTGATGGTCAAGAACAAAGCGAATTGTCTGCTACTGATGCTTGCATTTTCAGTTGCTTGAAGAGGTTGTTGCAGCATTGGCCACCGGTACACTCAAGTAAAAGTGTGCGTGTGCAAGACAGCTAAACATGGCGAGAGCCAGAATTGCAACCCAGGCTTTGACGTCAATGACTTTTGCTGCCATATGAACCCGTTTCCTTTGTGGCAAAACACAGAACGATTGTGATCGCAGCTTCAGACGGCAATTTGGGCTTGATTATGAGTTTACCTTATTCTACAGCAAGGAATACATGTATGTTGCCATGTCTTTGATTGAAGCATCCTTTGTACCTGCAAGGGCGTGAAGCATCGATAAAAAATTCACCCACAACAACGAACATCCAGGCAAACAATGACATCTTTTTATTTGACAAAGAAGAAGCTAGTCACCACTTTCTTCACCAAACAGTTTCCAGCTTGGGGCAGACTGCTCGCAATGCGGCTGTATCCGATTTGTCCAGAAAGGGTACAATATGCGAGACCGCCAACTTTGGCGGCAAGCTCTGCAGTAGGTTGCGGGGCGAGAGTACTGCACGCCTGGGATACCATTCCGAGTACCATGGAATATCATGAATTAGATATTCCTTGGTCAATTGCCCATGTTGGTCACGCCGTCTATTGCCGGTTCCATTCAAGAACAGCCGTCGTGCCTGGGGGGAGGGAGCCTTGCGGTGCTTCCACAGGGCTTCGGGAAGGGGTCCCAGATACTTTTGGACGTCATCAATGACGTATTTGTTGGGTAGGTAACAGTGCAATGACGGTGGCAAGGCTTGTTCAATCAAAAAGTCCAGATTGGGTAGATTGTAGTGTGTTGGAGAAGCCGCAATGCGGTTGGCGCACTTCCAAATGTAGTTGGCACAGTCGCGATGGTTTCCTTCCACTGCCATGGATAGTGATTCCTTGCTGCCGCCAGAGGAGTTGATCGACTCCACAGCAGTCGTCCTTCCATGGCACAATGCATCTGGTACTAACTTGCTGCTGAGCTTGGAATTCATCATTTCCTGGGCACACTGATCTTGAGGTGTTTTCTGGTATCCTTCCATGTAGTAGTATTTTGCTCCTTCATCATCGTTGTAGGAGACGGCATTCTCAAAGAGTAGAATACGCGTCATGTTTGGTTTGTGGGACTCTTTGACTTGTCGGTATATCTTGACCTCCACCCACGTGGTGTAACGAGGGCCACATGGAAAGGACTCATTCAGTACTTCGGCCCACAAGGTTGTACCGATCTTGACTTGTACCTGAACGACGCGATGACGCCTTGTTTTGAGCAAGAAGCGGAGCGTGCGAGACCGACTCACATCAAAGTAGTCGCAATCCTTATCATTGGGTGATCCCATATGATGTTCCATATTCACATAGGAAAGCTTTCGGGGCAATAACTCCTCCCGCACAATGTACGGCAACGGACCGCGGAACGTATCCACCAGAGATGCCGCTTGACGACAAGTCTGTGACAAGTTGGTCAAGTCCTGAACGGTCATCAAGGGGAAGATAAACTTTTGCAGAACTTCTGTTGGAAGAAAACCAAACATCCAATTCTCTCGGATGGTACTACCACATGTATCATTGCCATCATCATGTCCAATAACAACAGGAAAGTAGTCAAGCAGCGTGGGTTGTGGGTTGAGACGACGCTTCTTCAGCGGTGGCTGCACAAAGAGACTCATGGCCATGACAGGGAACCGTGTGTGGTTGTGTGGTTGCCAAAAGTGAGAGCTCAAAGAGGATAAGCAAAGCCAACAACAATGCGCTCCCACCAGCTAATTTGTTTTGTGGCGGGTTGTCAAGCGCTTTTGATGTCCTCTCTTGTGCGAACCAGTGGGGAGACTCGAGTAGTCGAGTAGAAATAGTCGAAGCAATGCACGGTACTGGTACTGACAGTAAGCTTGTAAGTTTTGGTCTCTATGCATACTTGCTTGCACACCCGCCAAAGCCGCTTCACAATAATTGATGGCAATTGAAGGGCAAGTGCTTCAGCGGCATGTACGTACTGGTACACTGTACAAGTACCAGGTACTGTAACAAATTGTTGGTGGTTGCAATAGCTCTGCGATTGGGAGTTATATAGTGGGTGGTCGACACGTTGCTGGTGTCAAAGAGTTCGGGACAACATGGTTTAAGAGCCATGTTCAAAGACTGGCATGCTCTTTTCTTTTCTTGAAGTTCTTCCCTTTTTTCTTTTTTCAAACTTGAAGGTCCAGAATGCCTTTTGCCCACAAAGTGTGCCATTAATTATTATTGCCATAGCTTGCCAATGAACGAAGAGACGAGATCGAGACACAGCAACATAGCTCACAAAGCGTTCCAAGCGCTAGGGCGTCCGGTACCGGCAGCCATAGTAATGTAGCTTTCATCAGCCAGCTGGCCTTCTCATCTCTCACGTCAGCTCTCACGTCTCATTCTCACTTCTCACGGGGACGTCATTGGCAGCTGGCGGCTGGCAAGCACCCAAGAAAAAGGAACTCGAACCTCCATCATGGGAATGATGATCAGACAATCATGTTTCGGAAACATGGTTACCGGTATCCGGATAAGGGGGTTTAGAGTTTTATGAGGTTCGCTCGCCCTTCGCCCAGACCCACAGCTCATCATGGATCACAACGAGGACTCCAGGAGAAGAACTGAAGGAGAGGACCCGCGGCGCTTTTAACCGGCGTCGTCCAGCAGCATTAGTAGGCTAGCGTAGCCAGGCGTTGTGTGATCATTCGGTTTTCTGGGGCTAACTCAAGTGGAACACGTGGCTGGTTTGGTTTGGAACGGTTAGCTATGTCGCCTCAAGAAGGCGCTGTTCTCCTTATGCTCTTCTTCCAACTTTCAGCTCCTGTCAAGGCTCCCCAATATCGAAACCAGCCCTCTCCTGCTACCAGTAGACGTCTAAGTATAGTGTAAACAGAATCCCACAATAAGTGCTTGGATTTGTAGCTCCAGAATGGCCAGCTACCGGTACCGTAGCTAGATTTAGCCATCAAAGGCTCTCTTTGTACTCATTTTAGCTCTAACCTTAAGGACTATCACTGATTGGCGTTAATCTACCGGTAAATACCGTACGAGCATCTTTTCCTTCGAACCGTCCCACAAATCTCACAAATCGACCTCTCTTCATTATTTTTTGAAGCACAAGTCTAGAGCAACCTTTCAATCGTCGACACTTGTTAGAAGATCATCACCATCATCATCATGGGATCCTGTGTCAGCACCACCAGCAACAACAAGAAAAGCAGCAAGAACCAGATCGTCGTGGTGGAAGACCAGCAGAAGAATCGCAAGCTCTTGAACAATCGAGTGGATGTGGTCGAAAAGGCGCAACCAACGGCTCCCGTACGCAAATACGCCGAAAACAACACTGTTGCTGGTGATCAAGAAGAAGCTCTCTTTGAAGATCCATCGGGTCCTCCCGCCATTTCCATTTTCCCATCCTCTCCTGCGAGCGTCAGTGCTGGTTCTCCCGAAATGAACGTCGAAATGAAGTTGTCGTCGCCCAAGCCACAGTAGAAGGATCGCCAACGGTCGTCTCGATCATCCTCGGTCGACCAATGTGGATTGCAGACAAACAAGACGTTGACGAGGAATCCAACATGAGAAAGATCACGATGGTTGTGCCTTCGAGCGCGTTTCCTTGGGACGCCGCCGAACCAAAACCAACGCCAAATCATGCAGCAAATGACAAAAACAGGATGCAAAGCAAAAACAGCGTTTGTTTCACAAAAGAATACAGTAGACTAAAGTACCGGTAAAACTAAAGAACTAAACATCCGAAACCTAAAACATGAACTTCTGTTCCTCACAGTACCTACTATCTAGCGCTAGATGCATGGAAAGCGTTTGACGAATCAAACCCGTCGCAAACGCGACAGTGGTCGCGTTCTTGACTTTCAACGGTGCCCTTGTTCTTCACTTTGCTCCCATGTGTCTACTTGTCCACGAGCAAACCAGCAACGACTGGTACTGGTCGCTTCGTTTGACTCGATGGGAGAGCAGCTCCTCAACTGCTCATGTTGGCAGGCCATCGTCATCGACGCCGTGGCTCATCGTCTCGTCCCTTTTGGGCTTTGAAGAGGCTGCGGTTTCAGGAAAGCAAAGCGACTACTGGTACCACCTGTGCAGGAGGAAACACCACCAAACATCTGCGCATCAAAGCTTGGGATCGAGCAAATCGGAAGCGGGACAGTGTAGCTTGTCCCGCATCCACTATAGCTGCTACAGTATGCCATGGCAAACGCGTGATCAATCCAGGAACGTACACAACTCTTCCTCTACAGAAAGTCTACAACCGTCGAGTCCCTGTCACTGACACAAGAAGAAGAATATTGTATTATTTTCCACATGCATCTGCACCAGGAATACTGAGTGTCCAAGATATCTGCATTCCGAAATCACGTCGGGTAGGAGCATGGTGAGTACACGCAGATTGCATCTTTGCGAGATGGCCAACAATAACATGCCTCTTTTTAGCGGCGCTATTTTGGAATCCATTGCATCCAAGAAGGGAAAAAAGTATTTATAAATGCAAGCTATTGTGGCGAGGGAGTTGTTGCTGGAGCTTCTGTAGGAATTGGCGTTGCTGCTTGAGGCGGTGGCGTCACCACACGAAACCTGGGTTTATCACCACCAGAGCTTCCGGCATTTCGATACACAATTGCCAAAATGGAAAAGATGACGGAAAGGAGCATCAACATCCATCCACAGAATAGAAAGGCTGGATTGGGACCACCTTTGGAGTCGTATGAAGCATTTCTGGATTGAAACTCTTCCTGTCCAGTCTGATTTTTGTTGTTGTTGTCGTAGACACTGGCTGGATGCAATGGTGCCGATTCGGGTTCCTCCGTGAAACTATCCTCCTCGCCATCATAACCATTTGCTGCTCCCTCGTTCTCATTGTGAATGAAATTTCGATCGTCATGATGATCTTCATGCTCGTCTGGGGAACGACTGCTGCTGTCTGTTGCTGTGTGGTGAGACGGATCCGGTGCCTGTTCGGGAAGCGGCTGTTCGCTGTGGTCGTAGTACAGTTCGTGCGTGTGGACCGTACTGGCTTCGTTGGTGGTGGCTGCCATGTTACTACTACCGTTCCGAGTTCCGTCGGCTTCTTCACTCCAATCGTCAGCTCCATCTTCCCACCCATCGTCGTCGTCGTTGTCGTTGTCATGAGTTTCAATATTGCCCACTGTTTCGAAACTGCTGCTATCGTCGTGGTTGCTCTTCTCGGGGCCAGGAAAGGCCACTGTTTCTTCTGGGGGGCGAATGTCATGACTGTCTTGGTGTGTGGATCCCGCCGTCAGTGGAGTTGGCGTGCCAGGAGCCCGTTGCGAACTGCGCATGTTGCCTTGATGCCATTCGTCGGCAATACTAGCATCTTCGTGAGGCATGGGGTGGTGGCTTGAGTTGGTGAGCGGAGTGGTCATGATGATGAGGAGGATAAAGGGATGCAGCAGCTTTTGTTCTTTTTCGCTTCCTTGCGCAAGGGTCGAGTGAGATTGAACCAGTGGGGTGAGGTGAAAGACAGACTTCGTACATTTACTTGCGAGAGAGATTTAACAACGGCGAGTGAATGGCATCATTAATGACCGATTGCGAGAACCAAACAACCAAACCGCTCCCTTTTCCTTACGGTACGGGACACCAATTGACCCAATCTCTCTGATTGAGAAAGTGTTGAGCTGTCTGCCCATCATGATGTATTGAAGCAAAGCTTCCGAGAAGCACAAACTAAGTTCCTCTGGCTGTTTCCAGCTTGGTCGCAGGTGGTTAAGTTCAATATTGCTACCTGGTATTAATAGCTACTCGGACCGGCACCGGTACATACAGACATGTACGATAAAGCGCACGGATTTTTATCAGCTCTCCGTCTGCCAATCCGCTACCAGTGGCTACCGTAGTGGCTACAACAAAAGCAATTGAGGAAAACATGAACCAGATCCGATCGAAAAGTTCATGATAATGATGTGTTCAAGACAATTCTGGATTCGTTCGTTCCTAGATGAATCTACTTATATTGATTGTTGATTTGACCATGCTACCTGGTAGCTGGTTGCGTTACAATGATTGCTCATGCCTTGGCATCACGAAAGACAATGGCCAAAATGGAACATATCAACGAAATGGTAAGAAATAAAACTCCCGCAATGAGAAATATGGGGGCATTCGACCCTCCTGATTTGGAAGTGGTGACGGCGTTGACGTCCCTAGCCTTTTCTAGCTGTGGCTCTCCATTTTGCGCCACTGCAGGATCTTGCCATGTATCTTCTGCTGGTTGCTGTTGTTGTGCTTCATCCATATGATAACTCTCTTCCCATGCACTGTTGTCGCTGGACGTTTCGCCCTGTTCCACATCCATTGTTGGCTGCTGTTGTTGCTGTCGTTGCTCGTTGTGGAGAAGAGGCTCTGCTGAAGGTTCGCTGAATTCGCCGCTGGGTCCATCTTCCCATTCCTCATCTTCGTCGTCGAACCCTTTAGGGGAAAACTCATCGTCGTCTTGGTCAAAGACATGGGGGTGGTAACTTCTGGTGCTCTCCCGATTACTCCCATTGTAGTTGCTGCTTCTTGTAGAATCATTAGGAGTGGACTTTCTCATTGTAGCTTGACCATCTCCGTCGGTACTCAGGAGCATTTCGTCGTCATCGTCTTCGTATCCTTCTTCTTGTTCCCAACATTCATCGTCGTCGTCATCATCGTAATACTCTCCCACGAGTTCTGGATCGCTGCGGACTTCTGGTTGTTGTCCACCAAACTCTTCATCGTAACTGCCATCCTCCTCGTCAAAGTCTTCTTGGTCGCCGTAGTATTCTTGACTCTGATTGGTACCGGAGTGCGCCGTCGGTTGGTTCGACTGTCGTAGACTGGAAACTCGTTTCTGTGGTTCTTGATGTGGTTCGTCGTGCGGTTCTTCTTCGTCCGATACTTCTTCGGGAAAGATCACTTGTGGTTGTTCTTCTTGCAGTCGGCCACTTCGAGGCATGATTAATTAGTCAATCTCTTTTAAAAGGCTGTCGATACAACAAGGTAATGATAAGATGGCTACTGGTATCGGTAGTGCAGTGATAATAGACAGGCAGGTCTGTTTTGGTTGGACGGAGTTTGCTGTGTGCTGTTTGCTGTTTGCTTTGTTGCCGTTGCTGTGTGGCTTGTTCCGGGTTTACAGTGTATTACAGCGAGTGTGTTTGTGCGAGAGAATCGAATCGAATGAGTCGAATGATAATCAAAGGATTTTCCAGGTTTAGTATATTTGCAGCTCTAAAGGCTTATATCAATCCCACACGCTTACCGTACCGTGGAAATAGCACAATGAAGCTTCATGAAGCTTCATCACTCACTGCCGGACTCAGGCTGTAGGCGAAGGGTGTACATGTTTTGAAGCATTCGGTGGGCAGCATCATGCCTTCCGCTTCTCAGTTGGTTGAGTTGCTCGTAAGATAGCTCGTTCCCATGATTCTGGAACGCCTCTTGTCGCATCTTGATTACCTCTACAGTAACACGACGAATCCACCCACATAGTAATGCATTGAGGCGGTCATTCAGAACATGGTATCCCGGCTTCTCTTTGATCATTTCCAGGATTGCAATTCGGTCTTTCTCAACGGATGCCTGAGCATCTTCCACTTTTGTCTTCGAGAGCACGTCATAGAAAACCTTGATATTGCCACTCTCACCAAACAGGTCTTCTTCGAGGGCCTTCTTCTCAGAGGGAGGCATTACAACTGTTACCTCACAACCTTCAATATGAGAAGTGTATAGTTCGAAAATGCACCAGACGCGTTTCAAATATGTAGGATTCTGCCAAGGAGACATCATGGCCAAGAGATGCCCAATCCGTGCCACGCGTTGCCCAAATTCGGCAAAGAAGTTAACTGTTGGGGCAAGCATTCCAGATTGTTCCGTCTTGCTCTGTTGCACCACCCGGTGCTGGTTAACGCATAGGCAGCAGATCCAGACATATGTACGCTTTGGATCCAGCTCCTGCGATCTGCAAAAGTCAACAAGTGTATCCAGAATGTCTCCAAACGCGTAGCTCCATGAATAGCTCAACATAAACATGGCCTTGCCAACGTTGTCTTCCCCAAAAAGGCAATGGACGTAGGATGCTCCAATCTGACCATCAACTGGGCATAAAAACTGCTTTCCCCTTTTTCCTTAGGACACCTGGAGGACCTTGAAGGTTCTCAATGGCATAAATATTGGATGATCTGTCGAGCCCGTGGGCCGACAACTCTTCCAAGAACTGTGTTTGCAGATAGTTCACGCTGACGGCAAGCTGATCCAACTCCTCTCTGGAACTTGAGGAGGCAGAGGAAACAGGACCTGCAGCGATTGCAACTAAAGGGCGTTCAAGTTCCTCCAAGCATACCCACGGGTGTTCCAATGCTTGTGCGAGAGTCAAGCGGTGTTTGGGATCACAGTGAAGAAGACGCTGCAACAGGTCCCCGGCCTGCTCGCTGAGGTGAATGCCCCATTCTTGTAGTTGATCTATGAGTTGCCCATTGACAATAACCTCAAAGCGTGCATCGCCAAGGCTTGGTGTATCATAGGGCGGAAAGCCACAAAGCAATATGTAAAGCACCACCCCTGTACCCCACATATCAATCGCACAGGGATCAAAGGCATCTTGGTTCTCGAATATCTCTGGGCACAGGTAGTTTGCTTTGCCACAGGTTCCCTGCGGCAGGATTAAGCGGCGGATGCTTCCATTGGCAATGTCAGTTGTTTGATTGGGGTCAGTGGAGTGGTTGTATGGAATGCGCAAACACAACCCCATGTCCGTCAAAGCGAGGGAGTCGTCGTTGATCATGAAGTTTTCTAAAGACATATCCCGATAACAGACGCCTTTGGAATGCAAATGCAAGAAACTCTGAAAATTTGACGCATCTGAGACGAGAGAACGACATGAAGAGACCCCATTCTTCCAGAGCTCACCTGCAGCACCTGCCGAAACCAAAACCTCGCGACATTCTCCGGCATACCAGCCTCCCCACCACTGCTTTCGGCATATTGAACTAGACGAGCGAATAAGTCTCCGTCCTTGTAGAACGGGATGAAGGAGTATAGGCGGTCATCGTCTTTGAGAACTCGGATGCTCTTCACCACATTAGGACAATCCGTTCCCAAGAATTGTGTGACCGCAACGTCGAGAATCGGATCCTCCTGCAAACGTCCTCTCATTCTAAATACTCGTTGCCACTCGATTAGCTTTACTGCGACCATATCTCCTGTGATCTCCCATACAATTGGTGCATTGAGACTGCCAGAGTTCTCTCCAGCCGCATGGGAAGCCTCGGCTACACCATGATGTTTTCTCAACACAGCACAACTCCAGACGCTTCCGTAGGTGAGATCTTGAATCTTCGGATGAGGCCAAAATGCCAGTGAGTCGTCAGCTTTATCGTCATCTTCTCCTGTAATGACGCCGGAACAGATTTGGCGAGTTCCAGACTCGAGATGGACCACCCAGCACTCATCCAGCCGCACAGCTTTCCTACGTTATTAAGTGCATCAAACATCAAACGTGAGAGGGCGACAAGCTGGACCTGACGCCTCTATGTCTTCGAATGTGTGGTGGCCTTTGTTCTCAATGAAGTCAACATGGGATTGCTGATCTCTCCACCATGACGCCATCTTTCTCTTGTTGATATCGGGCAGTCGGCTTCGATCTCATCACCACATCCAAGATGGCGTTGTGATTTGAACCCTCATTATAGCTCACTCCTCTTTCTGCTTCTTTTGAGCACGGTCTTCAGCCTGACACAATCGGATTTAACAGCTCTGATGGCTTTCAAAAGTTGGTACAGCACCTGGTACCAGGTACCAGGTACTAGCAGTACTTCGCACAGGAAGTCTTCTGGAGCTCTTCTGGTTAGGAGTAGATAACGAGAAAGATGGCAGACAACGGCAACTACGGCAACAATACCGGCAAAGTGGAGGGTCAGGATCCGCCAATATCACAGCAAAAGGCGGCCTCCAAGGAAGCATCAGGAGGTACCGGTAAAGAAGGAGCAATTGCCAAGAAGAAGTCCACCAATGACAAAATGCCCAGACCGACTCGTCCTCGTCCACAGCACAGAACCCTCTGTTCCCTGCTCCATTACTTTGTAGGAATGGAATTGTCCGTCGAACTCAAGACGGGACGCACATATCGAGGCACATTGGCCACAGCCGATGAATACATGAATTTGGCACTCGATGAAGTGGAACAAGTCGAACCGCCATCGCAGAATAACATCACCATGATTACCTGTCACATCCGCGGACCCAACATTCGATTCATTCATTTCCCATCCTCGGATCTACGGGCAGCCATACGAACTGGGCAAGATCGAGAACGAGCGGCAAAACAAAAATATCAAGGGGGCAAACGACAGTCGCGTTCTGTCACCACGGGAGGAAAGGCACAGCCAGATGTAGAGCAGCGCAAATAAAAATAAAGCAATGATCATTCATTACAGTAACAGAAAATTGCACTGAATACAATGACAAGTAGAGATTCAAAGGCAGCACAAATTGATTGGAATTTGGAATGAATGCCTTCAATTATCATTTCTGTAGATCATTCTGATTCGATTCGGCTGGGAGTGGATGATGTAAGCAAGCAACATATGAAGAGTACTCGTATCGAAGCTAGTAGACTATCCAGATGTACGGTAGCAGAAAAGAAAAAACTTGGTTTCTACATCATGCAATGGTATTAATTATGTTGAACTTCAAGACCAGACAAAAAGACAGATAGGTACAATGGCGGAATGTTGATCACAGGTCTTGTATTGGGGATCGGGTGGGTAGCAAAAAAGCTGGTCTCTCTGTTGCATGGAGATCATGGTTTGCTTTAGTCATCTGTGTCTATTGTTCTTTTGGAGACGCTGGTGATGCCGGGATATGTTACCGCAAACTCGGTACCATTAAAGGGTACCCCGTCACACTCCAGAGTCCAAAGACAGGTCTGCACATCGGCACAGGGTTCGCAGATATCACAAGCCAGGGGCACCATATCGAAGTTTTCAAGAGCGCTGTCATCTGTTCGAAAGAAATTGCAGTAAAATTCAAAAATGGCATCCACCGTATACTCTTCGCCGTCATAGACGATGTCTCCAAACGTCAAGACGGGAAGATCCGTCAAACTCAAGTTGTAGGATTGAAAATCTTGCAATTGACCTTCCAACAACTCATGCTGCATGTCATCCGACTCAGGATCGCCCACGCAGTAATCCAAGAGAAGGTAGTTGGCTTTAGGCAAGTCATTCAATACTTCCATGGAACAACTGGCCAGACTACTTTGGTCACTCCCAGATGCCCAACAGTCGGCACGATCGAATCGTTCCAAGTAGTCAAAGAATTCATAATCTGATGCTTCGTAAAACTGATCAAAGCACAATCGACGGAGGATTTCCAAAAGAACGTCTTTTCCCTTGATTTGGGGCGATAAAGTAGCGTTGTTGTTTTCTAGTGCTGCCTCTGGGTCATAGCAATAGCGTCCTCCATGAGTACAGTGATCTTGACACCAGCTATCGGCAGTGCTGTTTTCAACACAGCCCACGTTGGACCCAGGAATCAAATAATACACCGGGTGAGACCAAAGCACAAAATTTTGCTGATGGTTTCGTACCGTCAGGGCCTTGATGAGAGGCCACAGGCGCAACGAAGAAGGCTCTGGCAGAGTGTTAAAGATGTGAATGACAGGACTCTTATACAACTGATTGAATTCCCTTTCCATCAATTCGGAGAGTTCAGGGGGATAGAGAACAAAGGAATCCGCCGTCTCGGAGGGTGACCAAGGCGGTGAGGATACTGCCGTCGGGATGCTTGTTGACAACCACAGCAGGAGCAGCCGTCGAAAAAACGCGGCAGATGGAAGGGATAATGACATCTTTCTACCGTATGCAACACTGTGTTATTGACTTCTTTCCTCTTTTCTCCAGTAATAATGCGTGCTACCGGTATCTCATTTATTTGATATCGCTCGAGCTACAGTACCGGTACCGGTATTGTTGTTTGTTGTTGTTGTCCTTTGCATCGAGCTGGCTGGCCATTGGACGGAGAGGACAAGGCCTCCGTTTGAATTTTTGAATGAGGAAGGAAAGGAACTTTAGTACCGTACCGGTGCAGTATCCACGATTGAATGATTCGTCACGGAAGTCAGAAGTGAAAACGTTTGGTCGCAATGGTGGCAAAATGGCAAAATAGAAACAGGCCAGACGACAATAGGACCAGTAAGGCAACGTCGTCCCCTGGAAGAGCCATGGTCCTGTGCCGTACGGTTAGGTGAGAACAAAAGCAAAACGCAACTTCGTCCGCTACTACAAGTACGGTAGTACTCTTTTATGTCTATTCAATTCTCTCTCAAGCCCACAGTCAAAGTGGCAGACGGAGCGAGATTGAGTTCCTCAAGGCTGCTTGTTCCGTGCGTCCATGAGTCGAATTCGAGCCTAGGATGAGTCAAAAGCAACGTGAATAAGTCTGTGTTGCCAGTTCCAGCTGGAGCGTCCTCGGATGACACATCGCCTGTCAATGACCCCAGCTGGGCAGCAGGCGCTGAGTCTGCCATAAGCTCCGAGATCCGCGCATAGACGGCTATCAACGGCTCGGTCTTGTCAAACTCCTCAACAACTGACTTCTTGGATGGCAGACGGATACGAAGTCGGCACCGCTGGTCTTCGGGGATGCTTTTCTTCTTCTCGACGGCTTGTGCAGGAGGTCTGGTTTCTCGCTCTGGGTTGCTCGTAATAGGGTCCGCACGTAGCGTGGTGCCCGAGGTTCCCCATTCGTAGTTCGGATCAGTAATGTGCTCATTGTATCCAGGTGGCGCAAAGACATTCTTGCCAAGTCCATGGCTCTGTCTGCCAGTCAACGCCTCTTTGGGGGCATTTGCCTGCTGGCCGTTACCGGTAGGGGCATTTGCCTGCTGGGCCATGGCACCTGCAAACTCCGGGTGATTTGCCATAGCCTCAGCAAGATTACCACCTTCTGCATCTCCTTCTACATCGTCGTCGCTGTCGTCATTTTGGACCTGGTGCTCCTGAGGTGCTCGTTGGCTGGTCTTGGTGGTGACCGCAGTGAGCGCCTTGATTTGAGCCTGAAGCCGTCCAGCGCGAATGAAATCCTCCTGTTCCGCAGCTTCCTCCATTTCTCCCTTCAATCGGTCCAGTCGTTTCTGAAGCTCAATCTTTTCTCGCTCTACTTGTTCCAGCCTCTTTAATTCCTGTTGGAGATGCCCTGCCCGGACATACTCGCCTTGCTTCCCTGCATCCCTCATTCGCTGACGGGTCTGCTTCATCTGTTCCGTTTCCTCGATCACAATCTCCGCTTCCTTCGCCTCTTTCTTTGTCGCCGCCATGTTATTACGGTTCGGATCAGGGATGGCAGCTGCAATGCCGACCTTGTCATCACCATCATCACTGACAAAGTCCCTGACTTCCGCTGGTGCGCTGTCTGGTTCCATTTCAGCACTTCCTGCGCAACCAGGCAAGGACATTCTAGTGAGCCGAAGCTCAAGTTTCGGAAGGAGCTTGCCAATTTCGTCGACAGCCAGGCCACCTTCCTGAACATGATTGTGAGCTTGGACCTGGGCATTGACCGATGCCTGGCGATTCCGTCCCATTACTTGATCGGACAGCCAGGTTCGAACAGCGAGGAGAATTGACATGCGGTTCCTGCGAAAGTGGGCTTCAATTATGGCATGAAACGGTGTCCAGAAAGATTCTTCTTTCTTCTGGGCGCACGAAGCGATTGGATCCAACATAGCAAACATGATAGTGCCAACTCGTATCTTGTCCTCGGCCAACACGGCCAACGGATCGATTCCGACTTCTCCAGCCACAGCTTTGCCTGCCAGTGTTCGTCCCATGATATGCGTAAAGTCGCCTTCCTTGACTCTGCCCTGCCAGCCGCCTCTCATCAAATAATAGGGGTGCTCCACGCCGAGCATCAGCCCCTGAATGGAGATGAGGACCTGGTGCAACGAAGAATGCCCCGGAATCCAGGAACCACCTTGTGATCCCCACAGGAGCGACAAGCAGACGCCACCGTCGCTGTAAAGGTTGGGGCCAAACGAAAAGGACCGCCCACCGCGACTAATCAACTTGATCTTGGGTGGTTCTTGAGGATAGATTGCAGGAACATAAATGTCAAACGCAAACAAACCGCCTGAATAGGGCGTGATCCCTATTGCAGCGACCATGACGGCCCGGATGTACTGTGGAGATTCTTCGTCGAACCGAAGCCAAATGGACGAGTCAGAGTTGGAGGGTAGAGTGTCTTTGAGGCCATCGAACTCCTTGAACAGCCTTTTGAGACACTTTGTTGGCACCATGCCTTGCTGATCTTGCATCGTTCCATTGAAGCAGGAAGACTCTCGGATCCCTTCGGCCGAAGCACAGCGGGGGACGGTTTCCAAGAACTGTTCCCACTGCAATATCTCTTCCTTTGTCGCTTCTGCCTTTTCAATTAAGGACCCAGGGGCGGCTGGCTTTTGGTCCTCCACAGGGATTGCTGTTGACGCAGAAGCAGCCGCGACAAGACGAGGCGTGGTTTGAGTAGGAGCTGGTCCAGGCCAGTTGGATAGTGACATTGGAGCAGGAGCTGGTGCTGGTGCTGCGACATTCATTGGGGTCACTTCGCCCTCCGAGGGCGCCTCCTTTTTGTGCCTATCTCGAGCTGCTGCCCTCATGGATTGCATCTGTTGCTCCAGATCTGGTGCTGGTTCCATTGGCTTGGCCAACGGCAACGGCTGTTTTGAGATTTGGTTTTTGATAGTCACTCCCTGAGGAGCTCCCTTCTCTGCTTCCACATTGATATTGGAGTGAAAGGTTGCCTCTCGACGCTCTGCGGCTACCTTTTTTTCTTGTTTGCTCTCTTCCCACCTCTGCAGGGTGGCAGCTTGTGCCTGTCGCTTTGCCTTTTTCATTGCCTTGATCTTTTGTTGGCGTAGCAATCGTTCTTCTTCACTCAAGAAGGGTGAATTTTGGCTGGTGTAGACAGTGGAAGAAGCAGCGCTGGGTGCTGGGTCTGGAATGTCTTTGGCCTTGGATTTGGGTGCAGGATTCTTTAGACCAAACGTCACTTCTAGTTCCCGAGCTTTGGCATCAATCTTTTGACAGATGGCTTGAATCAGTTCCCTCTGCAGTGGATGATCGTACTCGGGCTCCTGGCCATCGCCATTGTCGACCTCCTCTAAATAGAGCTCCAAGGCATTCGCCTGACGATTCTTGGGTCTGTATACCAACAGATCGCCGCCGTTCTTGTCATTTTCGTCCTCCAACTTTTCCCTGACAAAGCCAGCCAAACACAGAATGCCCATGGCTCCAGGCCTTGCGGCGATATTTTGTTTGATCTTTGGATTCTCAAGTCGAATCCGTCGATACATTTCCTGTTTCTTCTTGTCATGGTTGAGTGAATTGCTTTTGATTGTATTCTGCAGCAACGTTGTCAAGATTTTAATCGTCGCCACCGTCTCTTCCGGGCCATTGTTGTCGAACAGAACGCCCACGGTATCTTCCAGCGCGTCCATTGTCGCTGCAATAACTCATCCACAATTTGACGGGTCACGGACCGTACAGCGACAATACCGTACTCAAGTTGTTGTGTGCTCTACGAAAGTGGGCGAAGCCGGGAAAGATCCTGGTATTCACTTTTGGGTTCAAAATCACGACTGAGTGTCGCGGGAGCATTCGTAGATTTTCCCAAGTGTTTGCTTCGGATTCTGAACCACGGCTGAAATTCACAGCATTTCCAGCATTGTACAAATCTCAGCAATTGCCAAGATGCGAGGCCTCCCGTGCTGCCTATACTCGACTGTCACTCGACTGTTGCCTACCGGTACCTGGTATCCAGGAAACAATGCAACGGGGTTTAGAGTAGGGAAGTTATCTACGGAAGCCAACGTCTCCAACTGCACACTAATCCCCCCATCTATCATACCTACACTGTACTAGGAAACAATTCATTTCCAAACACAATCTGCATCACCGCCTGACTGTCAACTCTCTATCTCTGCTGTGGCACCAAAACGTATCCACGAAAACCTCGCTGATATTGGTGATCCTTGTTGCCGTCGTGGTTCTGATCCTGGCGATTGTGATTCCTGTGGTTGTGGTCAAGGGAAAGAATGAGGAACCCAACGTGCCGACGCTACTCCCCTCAGAAACGCCCACAGGACTTCCCTCTCAGGCTCCCTCCAGCATGGACTACCTCACTGTATTGGACTTTCTCTTGGAAAGTCTACCAGAATACCTTCAGGAAGCATTGTTGCAACCAACAGACCAGGACGCAGCCGACTCGCCCCAGCTAAAAGCACTGGAATGGCTGGCGAACGAGGATAACTAAACCGCGGACCTAGTTTTATCGTTTGACGAAGAGACGACTGGAGCCAAAGTCTTGCAACGATATGCTCTAGGAACCTTCTACTTTGCATTGGGGGGAGATCAGTGGCAAGATTGCCCCGAACACAACCAGGAGCAATGTGAATGGATAATTCCCTCAAGGGAGAAATGGATGTCACCGACAGATGAATGTGATTGGGCCTTCCTCATCTGCAATGATGAAGTGGCAGTGGAGGAGATTATAGTAACGTCTGGGTTCGTAGTTGCCAAAAGTGGTAAGCAGAACTGTGATACCTTTGGTTTGGTCTCATGGCGTCAACTCAATCTTTCCCTTGTGTAGCAGGAGTGACACGATATGAGAATGTCATGAGAGGAACTCTTCCCATGGAGTTGTCCCTCTTTACAAGTCTCAAGAAGTTTGAAATTGCTAAGAATGGGATACAGGGAGATCTCGATAGTGCTTTCTTAGGCATTACTACCTTGGAGCACTTGGATGTACATGAGAGCAACCTTTCTGGCACATTCCCCAATTTGATCATTCAAAACAAACCAAATCTAAAGCAGCTTAGCTTGGCGGAAAACAGCAACATCAGGGGTTCGGTCTGGGGCCTAATCCCTCCAGCCCTGGAGACCCTGGACATTGAAGGTACACGAGTCAACGGATCTCTCCAAGACCTCTTGTCGGTGCCCAACAGTAGCAGCTTTGATGCCAACAGTACTGATTCGGTTCTGCAAGTTTTGAGCTTGAGCAGGACAGAAATATCTGGGACCCTGCCTTCCTCGATAGCCCGTCTCTCCAACATGACAGCATTGTCACTTGCCCAAACAAATCTGCAAGGTACTCTGCCAATGGAACTACTAGAGCTCAGACGCCTGGAGACCCTGATTCTGCCCATGACTGGCTTGTCTGGGTCCCTGCCTTCGGCTGGCATCGGAAATTGGACTAGAATGCGAGTGCTGGACCTTTCCTACAACCAATTCCGCGGAACTATCCCGGAGAATCTCCACTTTCTCAATTCTTCTCTTCAAGATTTGATTTTGAACGACAATGCCTTCAGCGGGGAACTTCCGGAGGCATTCTACCATCTCACTGCGCTAGGTATGAAATGAGACCATTGACATCAGTGTCAGTTGTTCAAGGTATCTCTTTTGTTTCTGCTTCTGCCTTGCTTGTTTTCTCACCACCGACATTGGTCTGCGAACTGCCCCTTACTCTAAATTTTGCCAAGAAACTCTTAGGCTGGACGGCAATGAGCTAACGGGGCGCATTCCAGGGGCTGTTTGCGCTGAGCGTGGGACGGGGGTGCAGCAGCTCGCTACGCTGTTTGTGGATTGTGTTGTCGAGTGTGGGTGTTGCGACGGTTGCAGAGACTGAATACGTGTAGTGGCTGAGATAGACGGGCTTGCTTGGTCCGCTTCTGGTTGCTTGGTGTCCATAAAAAGCACGTTTCTTACCCGCCCAGGTCGCCATCAGATTCTTGTGAGTGCGAAAGAAAGAAATAAGTTCGTTTAACATGTATGTAAAGTCTATCATTGTTTGTTTAGTTTGCATCATATTTGGAGAAACCCATGTGCTGGCCCGTGCAACAAACGTTTGCACTGTGGCGTTTACATCATCAAGGGTTCACTGGAGCATGATGCAGTGTCGTTATGGAAGGTAAGAAAATGAATAAATCTCCACGAATGATTGGATCATTCGATTCAATCAAAAAGTAGAAACGGGCGAGGCCGCCATCGCCCGTTTTGGTTGAGTTTGTGTGCTCGACCCAATTCGCCCACGGCTAAAAATAAAAATCACCTCAAGCAATTTCATCCGAGGAAGATCCAAGCGAACCACTGCTCAAGGGGGCAGTCATGTCATCGTTGCTCATGCTTATACGTTTCGTAGCAATTCCAGAGCTGCCTTCCTTCTTCCCTTGGCCTTGTCTCTGGAATCGATAATGAGTGAATCCGGCAAAGCCAAAAAAGGACATGAAGATGCCCATTGCCCCCACTGCGTGGATGGGCACTCCAAAAGCAATGCTGGTTACGACAATGGCAAACAGTCGTCGCAGACAACCGAATCCCGAGTACTGGACAACCGAGATGCGGCTCAGTATGAACGTGGATGCCAGACTGTACGTCGCAAATGCCCACGCATTGACCAACGACAATCCAAAGTAGTACCGCACGGCCTCCCAACTTTCTCGTCCCAGTAGCACTTGGAATAATTTGTTGTGCTGGAAGATGAGTACGGGCACCAGCAGAGACGCCGCCCCGGTTTGTTGCATTCGCCACAGCAGATTAAAGTCATCCAAGTTTTGAGCAGATCCCGATGGCGTATTTCGCAGCAGCTTTTGACACATGGCTCGAAAGGCAAAGCATAGGTTGGCAGTCATGACGGTCAAACAAGTTTTGATGGATTCCTGGAGCGTTGCAACTTCAGCGGCCACTGCAGCATCGTTGGCAGTAGCATTGGCATAGGTAGAAATCAAAACTCCCGTGATCAGAATGGTCAAGGAGACGGTCTCCATTTTGCCCAGTCGATCTATCCCCCACCAAATAGCCAGAGCACCCGTGGTGATTGGCTCACTTGCTTTGATGGTCTCCACAAAGGATGCCGATGAATGGGAAAATGATGTATTGGATGCCAGAAAGTCGAGTCCATTAAAAAGCCCCGATAGTAGCAAAAAGTCCACCACTAGTGATGCAGATTGGAACCATTTATGGTTGCTGCTGCCGTCCATCATGGCCGGTTCGGCAGGCCAAGGCTGAACCCCCACTCCACCGGCTGTGAACTTTCCCTTGACCCACAGAAAGGCTCTCATGTTCAAACTTCCCAGGAACAATTGCTGTAGTGTCAGAATGAGTGGGCAAGGAACCCCGCCTTCTTCGAGAGGCGTACTGAGCAGCAGTTTGGTGGTGCAGATGGAAATGACACCCACGAGATACCAAACAGACAGAGCAATTCCGATGGAGAAGGAATCTGGATTGTGACGTATGCTGACCAAAAGAGGTGTATACCAGCGTTTGGATGTAGGGGAAGTAGTAGTATGACTGACAGTGTTGTTGCTGTTGGTGGGCAAAGCAGGCAACTTGAGGGTATTCGTGGTGTTGTTGTTGTTGTCCAGCATCATCACGGTCGTTGGGCTGAGACTCTGTCGGTGGATGGAAGGTGAGCGACTTTTGACGGAAGCGGTCCTGGATAGTTCCCCACTCTCTACCATGCTCAACAATAGTGGTTCCTTCAAAGAAGAAGATTCGTTCTGATCAGAGGAAACTACTCTTCGGATCGGCTCCGTCATGTTGGGACCATCCCTTGATCCGGAACGTGTGCGAAAAGCTGGCATCTATCTTGGAAGATAATCTAATGGAGAGGGGCTGTTGATTGATCAATGGGCAAAACCCAGTATTAATAGAAGAAATCGTTGAGTGGACTTGTCTTCTTCCCTCTACAGCAACACAGCAGCATCAATCTACTTCCTTGATCCTTCTTTGCTCTACTTGCTCTCTTCTTGCCTTCTCCGTCAAATAATAGTGATCGCTATAACTGCGAAACTCTGTTGGGATAACTTGAAGAGTCCAGCTAGCCAGGTACTGTACGATGTGCCAATTTCGTGATCAGCAAAACATCTGGTATCCTAAGAATGACCTCGCCGTCAGGTCAGATCGTAATGATGATGTGGGCAAGTCACGGGCAAAGTGTGGGGAAGTGAGTTGGGGTGGCGCCAGTGTAGATCTTGGAACGTCCTCCAAGCGTTTTCCACGGTTAAATTGAGTTTCCACGCTATAAGGCTGATCCTGGCTTAGCCGACCCGAACCATGTGCACCACTTCCGTCTGAACCGCCACTGTTTACCTTTAGAAATGAAGAGTTCAGGGGTTTGGGCCACATGCATTGGTCCTGTGATCTTACAGAACTTCGTAAAGATCAATCAGGGGTGGGTGTCACTTTTCCGTCCTCTCTTCCACTTTCCATGGCTGAGGCAGATGCCAAAGCTAGCTAGTCATATTCGACTGGTAACACCCCCACACCCATCGGAAACACACCAACCCCCTACTGGTAACAGTGATCGGATTTTGGGTAACTGACACCCAACTGCCGCCAACTCCCTGGGAGAAACCTGGAATGCTGGGGATTCCCTGTACGATCCTACACTCCCGGTACTGGCAGAAAGTGCATAAGTAAGGAAATAAATTTAGCTCTAGACAGCATTTTGAATCGGCCTAAGTACCCAAGTCACATAGGCAACAGGTCTGCAGCTTCAACACTTGCAGCGCCACTTAACCGGCCAAACAAATAAGATCCAATGTATATTGTCCCTCCCACACTCTTCTCAATGATGATGAAAGTCGAAGTGTTCCCTCTAAGGAAAAAAAAGAGCAAAATAAAATTGGGTTTTTTTTTCCTTTGTGTCCCCTTAAGGCGGATGTCCTTCAAAGATGACCAACCGTATATATTAGTTTCTCGTCTCTTGGTTCAGTAACCTTGGGACCACCATTACAAGGCAAGCACAATATGCGCGGCCTTGGTGACGGGAACTAGGATGGAGATCTTGCCATCACGAAATAGAGACAGAGGGAACAAACCCAGAAAGAAACGAATGACCCAAAGTGGTTTTTTTACAATAATCTCAAACATACAATCGATAGAAAAAAGCAATCACAACCAAACTCAGTATAGACAGTAAGGGTATAGAAGAAAATTCAACAAAGACAGGAGGACAGCCTGGTGTGGCTCCAACAGGAGAGGATTCACTCAGCTAACTACTAGCGTCCCTAGTCACAACACCAAGGCGAAAGAAGCAAGAATCCAAGACATACACCTCGAACAGAAACCACCGAAGAAGAGTTCCTAAGAACAAAAACACCCAGAAAATCCAG